GGGGGGGGGGGGGAAAACAAGACAGGAAGCATAACTTCTCCCTGACGGTTGCACAGTGAAGTCAGCACCTTCTCTGTTCAGAAGAAGAATGAGTTTTCCAATATGATTCTATCCCTGAGCAGCACCATTAAAAGATTAAAAAACAAAGTAAAATGGATGTTTGAAAAATACAAGAGTGGACTAAACACCATTTTAGTCAAACTGGGATATCCCAGAGTAGCTCATGTTAACTAATCACATTAACTGATAAAAGTTTCCCATCTTCCCCTTTTAGAAATCTGCTTTAATTCAACTCATCATAAAACTGAACAACTCAAATTGTGCAAAGAGATTTCTGTTGAACTGAGAAGATACCTCTCCCAGAGAAGTTGTTTTAGAAATACTCAAAAGGATTTAATTTTTAAAACTTATAATTTTTCTCTGTACCTTACCTTATGGACAATATAGAACAGTCCATTCCACTTATTCAAGACATTAAGAGGCAAATAATATTTGGACAATCAAGCAGTTAGACTGGCTGAACCTGCCTTAGTTCCTGTATAAAACACAGGATTAAAAATAAGATTGGTTCTTATTGCCATTTTTCTACAGTGAAGCATCTGACCACTAGATGCTATAATGCGGGAGGAAGCCCAAAATGCCAAAGACAGATGAAATGTTCCTAGCCAATGTTGCCGTCCTACAAAGGTCTAATGAAGGGCAAAACAACCCCCAAAAAAGCAGAAAAATACTGGTGTAAAACAGAGAGAAAATAATTATACGATGATTAAAGAGTCTTTGAGGAAGTCTGACTCTCAATTACATCATCTTTTTTTTCTGTAAAGTTTGCTGCAAAAGAAACGGATGAACTATTGCAAAGGATAAGACATGTGATCTGCTGCCTCCAAGTAGTGAACTTGGAAGTTCTAACCTGGCCAAAGAGGAAACACAAACATATGTGTGTAGGACAGTATGTTGGATGGCAATTTCTTTCCTGCCAGATTTCTGGATTCAGTCTGGAACAAAGTCTTTGCTTCTGGTTTGGCTACTATGGTAAAGAAACCCTCTTCAGGCAAAGATTGGCACAACAATTTGAGCTGGCAGAGCACAAAAGTTAGCAGTCTGAATCCCATCCCCTCTCTCACAGATATAGTGAGGAATAACAATGTTTCTCAATCACAATGTACAGGAAAAGACTGTACTCAGAAGATAGCTGGTTATACAGTCAAGTAATTACTGTGGCATTTGGAGAGAGGCGATACATAATAGATCGCTGCCCAACTCAACATCACTAAACAGTCTGTGATAAAGCCCAACAATGTGTGCCTGGCTTCCTAAGTAAAAAGCAAAGATTTCATTAAAGATTTGTGCTTTGTGGGAATGCTGAAAAGCAAGTGCAGAGGACACTGGTTTTTGCTGATTCAGCAGACAGTCTGCCATGTAAAGAGCCTGAGAGCTTCATACCTAGCTACTTTAACCATTTCAGTTGTAAGTATCTGGTTTATCATCTGTAGTTATGACTTTTCTATGGATTACTTAGTTATGAATTGCCTGGAACATGTGACTAGCCACACCTGCCCAAGCAAGACTTAGACCCCAGCATGTTGCCAATTTAAAAAAAACAAACTCCAACTCACAGCAGAAATGTTACCTAAGTTCTTTAACACATACTACTTAGAAAAGCTCCATAGTGGATTAAAAATCTTCTTGCATTGAACTCTATCCTGGCTGCGAGCCCAGCATTCCTTTACTGCTGCAGTGCATGTGCACATTATGTACTACTATTGGGCAACTGCAACCACCAGGCAAGACCACTTAAACCGACATCAACTTCTCTTGCTTGAGAGACAATTCTCAGCACTAGCTCTTGAAGCCAAAGCCACACATTACTGCTGTAAACAACCGAGCGCTACAGATGTAGGCGGTCCAAATGTCAATCCATTGCTTTCCCTAGTTTGGCGTTGCGACGGCCAACTGGCTTCAGATTCTGTGTCTATCGGCAAGAAGTGCAGTGTGGAGATGTACAAGGGTCGCCTAGCAGCTTAGAACTAACCTGCCAATGCCGACGTCCACAGCTGTGGTGAAGGGCCAGCATTCCATGGGAATATTGGCACTTTGGTGTGGCTGAACGGGGGCAGTCCCAGAAGCATTTTACCTGCATGGCAGCTGGTTTGCTACACAACTACATGAAAACCAACGGGATGAGAGAGACACTGCTGGGCTGATGGTGCAGCAATTACAAACGAAGGAAGCATTTGAAAGAGATGCCTGCAGTCCCTCCGCTAGCAAACGACGGAGGTGACTGATCATCTCTCGCCATGCCACTGCACCGCTATCAGCCCCACAAGGTTGGGCTTACAAACAGGTACAAGCAATGAAGAGCTGTCAATTCAGATAAACCTTTCCTGCTTTCAGATGGGTCAAATAGGTGAAAGTAACATCAGGCAGAAAGATGTCGGACGAGGTAAAATTCATTAGCACCTCCCTCCAAAAAATGTACATTTAAAAAAGGTAGTTTTGTCCTGTTAATACAACTATACACAAAGATTTAAAACTTTTTGCCGATAAAGCCTGCAAAGGAGACAAGGGCAATTGTCAAAAAATTCCTGCTCTGCTCAAAAGGGTCCCCGTGGGATCTCATTTGTTCATACACAACCCCGATATATTTCCATTAGTTTTAAAAATTGGACTCCAAGACCACCACCCCAACCTGCACATGTTAATATATACACTATGTTCATGTGTGATGTTGCCCTTTTATTTATTAACTGTAATAAAGGATGATTGTTCTAAGCCAGTCCAACAGTGCATGAGGTATGGCTCTTGTGAAGAAGCCATTTCCTGTACAGCCCTACCTGATTGGCAAGGCAAAGCACTATTGTTCCTGTACATTCATTACAAAAAACCCTAGAAATCTCCCAGGGTTCGTGCGGTGGCACACAGAGCAGGTCAGTTCTTGGCTGCTCTTAGCTTTCTACGGAAGTAGTCGGGTGCAGCATCATACAGCCAATCTGCATCCACCACACACAGGTCTCTCATGTAGCACTTGTTGGTGTGAAGCAGCTCGTTGTAAGTGACGCAGGCTGGCTTGCAGTGGAAGAGGACAGAAGAGGGATGGATTGCCACGAGCTGGTTGGAGTCTACGGTGGCATAGGTGCCATCGGGCTGCAACTCTGCAGTGTTCATGAAGAGGCTGTGAGCCAGGCAGCGGCGGATATTCCCTGTGTCCGATCGGGAGGACTCAATCGGTAATGATAGCTAGTTAGTAATGAGAGAAAGAGAAACGGCAACCTTGTGGGTGTGGTGCCCTGCAGCTCAGAACCACACACCCGACTAACATCAAGTCTCTTAACACAAGCCTGGAAAAGCCTTGCAATCACCATGCAGTGCAAGTAAGAGTGGAAACAGGTGGCTTCAAGCACAACATGGAAGCCCACATCACACATCGCTTCCTGGCATCCCTTCTGGTGTGCATGGTAGAAATGCAAACATGGCACAACTGAAAGCTCAGAAGAAATGGGAATTCCAGTTCAATGGCAATTCAAGTGGACAGTTGCACTACGAGTCTGTGGGATGCTGCCCAGAGACAGATCCACGCTGCTCTTTAGGGGAGTTAGTTACAGTCCCACCATATTCAAACCAGAAACTGATGGCAGAGTGTTTCCCTCTGCTAGGGCCTGGTACCAGGAAGCCATTCTGGGGATGACAAGACAACTGGAGAATTTTACAGCAACTAGTTACCTTTAGGCAAATATCCCTGAGCTGAGCTCTGACCTCCGACACCAGCATCATGTTCCTGTTGTTCACAAAGTTCTCTCTGCACCATTCCTGCAGCAGAGTAAGTGAAAGTTAGAACAACTGACTTATCAGGGATGTTAAAGATATTGTCTTTGGGTGGGATGTACAATGGAGTCCCTGAATCACATACTAGGGATTTAAAATCCTGTTTAATCAGTTAACTGATTAAACATTATATTTGACTGGTTAACCAGGATCCTGCAGGCAAGAGGCCACTCCAACCTGGTTGGGCTGGAGTGTCCCCCCACTTTCCCCCCCACACACCGTCTGTAGCATAGCGCAATGGGCTCAACTTGACTGGAGCACCCCCTGCCCCGTTTGCGGTGCGGGGCTGCTCCAGCCTGGCCTGCCACACTGCACTGAGGACAGGGCCCTGCTCCGGCCAGGCCCACTGCACCACAGAGGTCTGCTCCAGCCCAGCCACAGTTAACAGGTTACATCCCTATCACAAACCCATTCAAAAGAGCAGTGCAAGTTTTGGCCAGATTCCCAGTCTAGATAGTTACACTCAACCTACCTAAATTCCCTCCTGTTCCACTTAGATGCAAATTTCCTCACCCACTCTCCTAATCTGCAACGTGGGCTCGCCATGTGCCATGGAACAGCTTCTGCGCGCCCTTCCCAGAGGTAGCAATAGTGATTCCTAGAAGCATCAAGTTTCTAAATTGCACTGGGAGCCCTGAGGAGGAAAGAAACGCTAGGCAGCCCAGGCTGCTCCACTACTCATATAGGCTACGTCTACACTGGCATAATCTTGCGCAAAAACTCTTTAGCGCAAGAGTTCTTGCATTAAAGTAGTTGTGCAAGAGAGTGTCTACACTGGCATGTGCTTTTGCGCAAGAGCATCCTTGCCAGTGTAGACGCTCTCTTGCGCAAGAAAGCTCTGATGGCCATTTTAACCATAGGGCTTCCTTGCGCAAGAAATTCATGTTGCCTGTCTACACTGGCCTCTTGCACAAGAACAGTTGCGCAAAAGGGCTTGTTCCTGAGCGGGAGCATCATAGTTCTTGCGCAAGAAGCCCTGAGTTCATACAGTAGAACATCAGTTTACTTGCGCAAGAACACACGGCAAGATCGCGCCAGTGTAGACACAGCCTTAGGGATCAGACTGGAGAATTTGAGTTGTGGAATAAACCCAAATCCCATTTACAACATTTGCAGAAAGGCTCAATCCCTTTGTAACGAGTGCTGAGGCGGGAAAGCGCATTGCCAGGCATTTCCTGGTGTACAATCCTACCCCACTGGAACAGTACAAGGGAGGAAAGATCAGCCCTGAGCTTAGGGTGCTAGATTGGAACTGGGGAAGACGTGGGTTCGCTTCCCAGCTCTGCTGTGGATTTCCTACATGATCTTCATCAAATCACGTATTCTGCCTATAAAATGAGGTTACCCCTTTGCCACCCCCACAGAAGCATAGCGAGGATACACAGACTGATTACAAGGCATTCGGATACAAAGCAAAGTGCAGATAACATGGAGAGACATCACGGCCCCAAAGGGGTCTCCAGACAGTCCCACCCACCTTATTGCCGCTGACATTTCTGAAGGCTCGGTACACGTTGAGCAGAGTGAGGTGATCTCCCTCGCTGGAGATGAACTTCTTCCGGACAGACTGCACTTCATCCCGCCGGGACGGGGGGTTGTAGAGGATGCTGTCCACTGAGAGCAGGGACACGATGGTCAGGATCTCCTCCGTGCAGTGGAACTTGGGGGACAGGAGGATAGTCTGCCAAGCACAGAGCAAGAGTGGCTTTTATAGGTTTCACCCGTGGACAGCACAGTAATCCTGATGGGCAGTGTAAACTTTAAAAGAGTCTAACACACAAATGGTAACACCTGGCTCAATAGGAACAGACATAAAGAGATGGGAACTCCAGGCTTATTCTTAAAATGACAGAAGACAGCGGGAAGAGATGTTCTAGGGATACAACTAGTCCATCCTCATGCCAGGGCAGTACCACGGAGGCACTGGCAATAGCCATCATTAACGGTTATTCTTTAAGTTGTTCTCATTTGAATGAGCTAAACTACTCACAAACCTTGACTCACTCATGTCTATTATTTAGGCCCACCGATATACACACACTATTGGGGAGGGCTGATTATTTTAAGGGAGTTTCAACATAACATGCTCATTTATATGAGTATTGAAAGGGAGACGAGAGCAGCTCTTTTGGAAACTTTGGTTTCAACTCTAACTTGCCGCCTTAAAATCAAGTGGTGAGCTACAGGAATGGAGGAGAACAACAAGAAGCACTAAAGGTGAATGACAATCCCGCGAGCCTCACTTGAGTACCAACGGGAAATGACTGACATCAACAGGATTATAAAGCACACGCTCCATGAGCGGGATGTGACAGGGACAATCCAGCTTCTGTAAAGAAAAACGGTGCCTATAATCCACTAGGATTTTCAGCACCCTGGAGGCTGCATCTCCTTAGGGCCAAGTTCCACAACTATTGCACAGCAGCAGCCAAACTCACAGAACCTGCAGAGTCAGGCCCAAAAGAGGTGCGCGCTCTCTCTCTTCACACTAGGGATGTTAAATATCGGTTAACTGAACAGTCGATTAACCATGTGAATTCTTATCGGTTAGTCGACTATTCTATAGTCCCAGGAGGTGGGGCCAGTGCGCTCCGGCCCCACTCCTGAGGAGCCCTCTGCCACTCCATGCTGCTGCCTCTCTATCAGAGGCAGCAGTATGGAATGCCAAGCAGGAGCTGATCCGCGAGAGAAGCCAGTTTAAAAGGCAGCTCCCCTCGCGAGCCGGCTGCCTGTCCAGGGAGGTCTGAGCTCTCCGATCCGGTGTGAGCTGGAACTGAGCCAGGCTGCCTGCCTGGTTCCTAACACATTTTAAACGCAGAGCTGCAGCAGGGGTAAGTCCCGGACCTGGCACTGAGCCGAGCTGCTGGCCATCCTTCTAGAAAACGTACTGGAAAGGGGCAGGGGGAGGAGGGAAATGCGTGGAGTCTATAGCATTAACCTATAAGCTTTTGCGTATCAGTTAATTGACTGCTCTATTACATCCCTACTTCACATGTGGGCAGTTACAGACGTATCACGGTAACAGTATCTGTATGGAAACCAGATCTTGCTAACAGCGGAAAGCTCACTGCCTAGCGCTTGTACCTTAGAGAACTTGGGTTCCAGAGGAAACGCTGCCATCTTCCGTCCCAGCGGGGTCAGCATCACCTGAGCCTCCTTCCGGTCCACCGCCCCCAGCAGATCCAGTTGCTCAATGGCTGCGCGAATGGCATCTATCAAGACAGAATGGGACAGCCAGTTGGCGCCAGGGCTGGCAATATCAGCAGAGGAGCAAAAGACTTTCCCTCCGCCCCCCAGCTCCATCCCAGTGTCTCTGGGTCAAAGGGAAGGGCAGCAGCCTGGCACTGCTTGAGTCTCCAGGGCACATTCCACGGACACCCCACTCACCAAGTACACTCTACACTGAAGCAAAGCAAGGTGCCATGCCAACCCCTGGGCGGCAGCCCTGCCAGGACTCTGTAGGCCGCTCTCCTTCTCTAGAAGCCTCCCCTCAAGATTTCTCCAGTTTCCTTGCACCCCGAGCCGACTTCTATCCCCTCATTCGACTGGGGAAGTCCAATTCCCTGCCCTCAAGGTGCTGCTTTCATATTAGTGAGCACTTAAAGGAACCTGGTCCACCCACGTGGCCAGGGCTGTCCCGCGGGGAGCACAGAGCCTGTGGTAATCTCACCCCACCCAGTGCCCCAGGCAGCCCCACCGGCTTACTCCCTATGGCCCAGAGGACTGGGGGGGGGGTTGGCGCAGCAATGGTAGGGTTTCCCTCCCCACCATTCACATACAGGTGGCGGGAGCCGGAGTAGCCTGGCAGCTCCACCCCGTTTGCAGTGCCCTCCCCATCCGCTGCACCTCACTACTCCGCCGTGGTGGGAACCAGAGAGCCTGGGGCAGGGCGCTCTGCTTCCTGCTAACGCCAAGACCCCGCGCACAGCAGGCCGGGAGAGGGTGGCAGGGAGAAATGGAGAAGGCTGCTGGGCCACTCCAGTTCCTGCCACGTATGTGGTTAGTGGCCCCCATAACCCTCAGTCCCTCCCGGTTGAAGTAGGCGCCCCCAATTTGTCGTATGGACAGGACTGCTCTGCAGGTGGCAAGACCCCTAGTGGGAGGTTGCAGCAATACAGAAGTGTTATGCTCCTTAGCGGACAGGCTCCCCCACTCTTCCTTATTGGTTCAGTCCACATTTTTTTTCCGATAAATCCTCAGAGACCTGTTACCCATTCCTCCCAACGCTGCCTCTGTGCCGCTTACCGGGGGATGGCTTGGACATAAAGTCAAAGGTGAGAACGTTGGGAATTCTCAGAGCCAGGAGCTGGAGCATCACGCTGGCCAGGTTACACCTGCACAGGGAGAGAAATCACCAGTCCCTACTGAGGCAAATCGGACAGGCCTGCTCGACGGGCACCTCTGAAACCCTGCACGCCGAGGAAGGGTCCGGTGCCCCGTCGTCCTGAGCTGGGGAGGCTGTGGGCATTAAAGAAGAAACGTTCCTAGCTCCAAAGGGAAGCCAGGCACTGCCAGAGATGCAGAGCCAAATCTTTCACCCTTCCCCCTGGCCTCAGCACCCCTGCAGATCAGCTACTTCTTCCAGCAGCACCTCCAGCCACAGAGCAGAGGAAAGAGGGAGGCTTTACCCCCAGACGTCTCAGACTCCTGGCCCGTGGGCCATCTCCAGCTGGAGCGATTGCGCAATCCGGCCCAGGACTCCTGGCAGGTGGGGTTGGGAGCGTGTCTGTTACCAGTTCCCAAGCCCTGCCCCTTCCCACCATTGCCCCGCCCACTCTCCCACATGGCCCCCCGTCTCCTGAGGATGCGGCTTCGGGGATCACCGGGGGAGGGGCCCTGGTGCAGTGTGGCGGCAGCAGTCGGACACTCCCACGCTCCCTGTGGCCACAGGAGCTGCGGGAGGCAGAGTGCACCGGGCGAGTGCACCGCTCCTCCGGGGGGAGTCAGGAGGCACGGCCGGGTCGCATTGCACAATCTCTCCGGCGGCGGATGGCCCACAGGCCCGGGGCCTGAGACTCCTGCTTTCCACATTCACTTTTGTCAGCAACAGGGCAAAGGCACAACAGGGGAAAGAGGCCTCATGCAAAGGACCAAAGGGCAACGACCAAGGTGGCCCTGGAAGCTGGACACTGCCCTGAACTTCTCCCTCCACAGATGGTTCTTGGTACAGAAGTGCTGGGAGTCTGAGACCCCAAGGGAGCCCCCGCCCCGAGGGCTGAGCGAGGAAACAGAAGGGGAAGCAAGTCGCTTCCACTATCCCCCGGCGCCTCCCCAGCCTGCTGCCAGTTATGCCACGTGAGATGGGACGGTGCAAGCTGAAAAGGGCAGGCGGGTGGGAGGGGGAGAAAAAGCCAAACACGCAGACCCTGCTCGCCCTGTTTCTGACACCCTGCTCCTGGCTACGGGGCTGCTGGTGGAGACAGAGCAAAAGCCTGAGCTCTGCCAGCTCCAGGCCCCACCGTCATTAAACACAGCAAAGCTGTGAAATAGAGTAGATTGGTGCCGAGTTAGTCTACAGAAACGAAGCCACTCCGCACCGGACAGGGCAAGATGGAAGGAAATAGCGAGGGAGGCATCAGACACCAGCAGGCGTTAAGCTGGGTTGTTGATGATGATGAGGCTGTGAAAACGGAATTAGCCACAACAGGAAGCCAGCCGAGACACCGTTCTGCCTCCAGGCTCTGACCGCCTTTCCTCGGCCCAGGCTGCTAAAGGGGTTCCAGATCCAGTCACGGCACTCCCCTCCGAACCTCCCCTTCTGGCTCCGTCACAGGGTCTGGCTGAGGGCAGGCCGGGCTGTATGTGTCCAGGGAAGTGGAGTATGACCTCACCTCTGGATCTCTGGTATCGTCATTTTATCAAACTTCTCGAACTCATCCTCCGTGTAGAGCCGGTAACAGACGCCACTGTCCTCTGGCCCCGCTCGTCCCGTACGCTGCCAGGCCTGGGCCTTCGACACCCGCTGCACAGCTAACACCTCCAGGCCACTCTCTGGGAAAGGAAGTGCGTCCGTGTCAGCAAACAGTCGTGCACGCTGGGCTTCGAAAACACAGCGCACGCCAATTCGCACAGTGGCTGAGCACGGATCCGGAGGAATGGGGGAAGAAAGAGAGCACCATCTACCGAAACACCACCACTATACAGTGGTCTCCCATCCAATGCTAACCAGGCCTGGCCTGCTTAGCACACGAGACCTGAATACAACTATGTGGTGCTGCGTCCACTTGGTGGCATTTCACAGTGCCAGGGGTAAGTTTACACTGCACCCAGACATCTCTGGCTGGCCCATGTCAACTGACTCGGGCTCAGAGGCTGTTTAATTGGGCTGTAGATGTTCTCGGATCCTTCCACCTTGCAGGGGGCTCCAGCCAGCCCAGACATCTACACTGCACTAAACAGCCCCACAGCCCAAGCCAGCTGGCATGGGCAAGCTGCAAATTTTTAAACTGTAATGTAGACATATCCCAGTAGACCCTGTAGAATTCCACACTTAACTGACTCCCCCCACAAATGGATGGCCCGGTCTAGACCCTAGCCCAGAATCAGATGGGCACCGAGGAAGAAAGCATGTTCAATTTTGACACCCCCCCCTCCCTTCCCCGAAACAGGACATGTTGAAGACTAGGACAGAGGAGAGGTTTAAATCAGCTGCTAGTTTAGTGCCTCAACAAACTTCACAAGAATTAAAAATTATTTCCTTCTCACTCGTCTCAAGTCCTCACCGGGGCTGTACTTCTTTGCTTTCACCATGCCTGTGTCCACAACGTATTTTATTCCTGCAATGGTGATGGAGGTTTCCGCAATGTTGGTTGAAAGGATCACTTTGCGATAGCCCTAGAAGGAAGAACACGCAAAATAACATCTGCTGGCCATGATCAAACACTTTGCACCAGTACCTCTCAAAGAGCTTTGCAAAGAAGACCAGTTTCATTATCCCCATTTTACTGATGGTGAAACTGAGGCAGCCGTGTCTTTGCCCAAGGTCATCAACAGACAAGTGGCAGAGCCAGGATTAGAACTCAGAATATCCCAAGTGGCAGTACAGGGCTGTTACCAGTAGGCCACACTTGCAGAAGTCCCAGTTCCCATTTTCCTACCTCAGGGAATGTCTACACAGCAGTGTTATTTCGGAATAACTGATGTTATTTTGAAATACTGTCAAGCTGGAGGATTTCTTATTCCGACTCCTGTAACCCTCATTTTACATGTGCACAACTTCCTGTTGTGTAGACAGCACCAAAATTAAGCTATTTTGATTTCAGCTACGCAAATAACTTAGCAGAAGTTGCGTCGCTGAACTCGACGGTAGCCCGCAGTGTAGGGCAGACGTACCCTCGGTGTCCCAAGATTCACAAATCCTTACTGGTGTGCTTTGACTTACAGTGCTTCAGAGCATGACGAGCTTGGGTGGCTAAATGAAAACTCGAGCTACAGGGCAGATTCCCAGATGACAAGAACTTTACAATAAAACAACTAGACAAATCAAACACACCCTCATATTTACTACTCCAACGAAACACAGACCCCAAAAGGCTGTTTGCAGTGGAGCCTTTACACTTTTTTGGTTTTGCTTCTGGTGAAAGGCCTGAGATTAGGATCCCTAAAGACCTGAGTTCCTGCTTATCCACTGGCTAGGAACAGCACAGGCTGAAGCAATGCTCCTCCGTGCACATCCACACAACCCTGCCAAGTCTGACACGTCCTTCAGGATCCCCTGAAGGCAGCCCAGTGAGGCAAGCCAGCTGCAATGGTGCTTCTTCTGATGGGGCTCTTAGTCCACAAGGATCCTTACTGAACACACCGCACAGGTTCTGCATCTCACTGCTCAGCCTATGGACCCCCAATGCGCTACCTTTTCCAGATCCATGCAACTATTCCCATGTTGATGCGAATGATGATGAGACTCAGAGATGACACCCCATCTATCACACTGAAAACATGTCCCCGGGCAGTAGTCAACCATGGTTATAAGCAGGGCTCAACAAACTATGTAATCTACTCGCCCGTGGCAAGTAGATTACAACCCGGAAGAGCCGGGTTCGGGCGATCTGCGCATGCGCAGAATGATCTGCACACGCACAGAGCGCTAGACAGCGCGGCTGGCGAGCAGGGCTCGCTGTGGCTTGGCGAGCCCTGGTTATAAGTCAGGATTGCTTTTATCTAGGGACATTAATGAGTTAACCAGTAAGCATACCGATAAACGGGAGGCTTGCTGGTTAACCAGTTAACTGGTTCTCGGTGGCAAACTCTCGCGGTGGCCAGGCACACCAGGTCGGAGCAGCCCCAGGTAGAGGGACCAGCAGGCTGGGCAGAAGAATCTCCCAGCTAAAATGGTTAGCTGGTTACGCTCTAGCTTTAGCCGGTTAGCCTTTTTAACACTGAACCTACAGGACGTACAACCCGTCCCGTGCAGGGAAATGAACCGTGCTGTGGCTGCATCTGCTCCCCCGGAGCTGTTCTTCCCTCCCGCCTGGCTTACCTTGGGGGCAGGCTGAAAGACGCGGAGCTGCTGCGAGTAGGGCAGCGAAGCATAGAGGGGCATCACCGCCATCTGGGGGCAGCCGTCGGGAAGGTGCTTGGCAATGTCGCGGCAGGTTTTGGTCATCGCTTCGATCTCCTCCTGGCCAGTCAGAAACACCAGGATGTCCTGAGAAGAAGGTGCCTCCTTGAGGGGAAGGGAACCAGAAACCAGCGTAAACTAGTGGGAGAAACGACTCACGCGGAAATAAAACAGCAGCTCTCAGCTCTCCGACCAACAGCGGACGAGATGGAGCTGCTGGGGAGCACCGCTGGGCATGGGCCCGCTAAGCAAGGTGCTGAACACTGTCCCCGCTGGACTCCCTCGGACAGGAGGGGGTCAACACTCTGTAGGACTCGGCTTGTCAACAGGATGGAGGGAACCAAAAAAAGAGACAGAGAAAGTCATGTCTCTGCTTTGTTCAGCAGCGTGGCAGGGCAGCCGCACAGCAAGCCAGCCTACCTTTGGCAGGGCCGCTAGTCAGTAACCACATGAAAAGCTGAAGGGCGGTTAGGAAAGCTAGCTGCATACTCTGCTAAGGAGTCTCATAAGCAGGGCTCGACAAACGGCGGCGAAAGCCGCTCGCCAGCCCCGCACTGCGCATGCCCAAGAGCCGCATTGCGGTAAACGGGGCGCACGGCTGAAATCTTCTCGCCACAGGCAAGTAGATTCTATAGTTTGTCGAGCCCTGCCCATAAGAACATAAGAGCGGCCATACTGGATCAGACCAACAGTCCATCCACCCCAGTACCTTGTCTGCCGACAGTGGCCAATGCCAGGTGCCCCAGAGGGAATGAACCGAACAGGTAACGATCAAGCAATCTCTCTCCTGACATCCATCTGCACCCTCTAACAAACAGAGGCTCCTTTCGCCCCAGACTAGAGTTCGATTCCTACCAGCACAGAAGCAGTGAGGATTTTCCTAGCAGCGGGTGTGGGGGGTTAAATAAACTAACACCCGACACACCCCGAAACAGCCACCACAGACAGACTGCGTCAAAAGCAGCGAGTCACCATGGGCTCCGGGGGAGGAGATATGTTGGAGAGATTTCCGAAGATGAGCCCTGCAGGCAAAACTCAAGACGAACCATCTGGCAGGGTCTTGTTGAAACACTTAGCGCTAATCATAAAATATTGACGCGCTTTTAGTTCATTAGATTTCCATTTTCTCGATCGTGTATCTTAACTACAGTTGGGAGGCAATTGCTCATCATCGACAAGTGGCATTTTCCCATGTTGCTGCTCTTCGTGGATTACGCGATTCTGTAAGTAAGGGGGTGCGAATAAATTACTCTCCAGAGTGTAATATTTTCCAGTAGCGGGAGTCCTCATCTCACTCAGCTGCACTGTCAGCATCATGTACTTGAGAAATAGATTGTAAAAGACTATAGAGCCAGCTGGCCTGCGCTGAAGTAGGAAAGCTAGACATGCATGAGGCTACAACACTTTACAGAACAGCCCTAGAGTTCTACTAACCATACAAGCTGCACAGATCGTGAATCTAGCAAAAGTCGGGGGGGGGGGGGAAAATAAAAGAATTCTCAATGCTCATGAGCATGATAAAGAGGCTGCTACTTGGATGCGCAGAGGCAGAAGGACGTCAGCGGAGATATCCAACTGCAGCACCCCAGAAGCAACGCTAGCTCCTAACACGCCGGCGGTACCTGATGGATTTGGAAGACGGACACCAGTGCTGCTTGGAGGTAATCGCTCTGAGGCTGTTTGGTGTAAAAGATCTGGATTGGGTGTTGCCGGCCTTCTAGGTAGAGGACTGGGGCTCTGTTGAAGTACTGAGAGAACTGGTCCACGTCCATAGTCGCTGACATGATCACCACCTACAAAACAGCAGCAAGGCAGGGGCTGGCAATGGGACTCTTACACACAACGCAAGGCAGCCCCCTTTCGATGGGCAGGACGACCGTCCAAACCAGCAAAGGAGGAGGAGGAGACTCAGTGCAGAAGAAAGCCACGTTTGTTTCTTTCCTCCAGACCCTCCGGTCTATAGCCCCCCACTCCCACTGCATGCGACACCCCAGCCGGTGTGATACACCCATCACCCCACGCATTACGGCGTGAGGGAGAAGCACGCTTAAAGGTATCCAGGCATTTACAGAACACAGCCACCTTGCCTGGCTAGAACATAAGAAATGGCTTTCAAGGAGGGGAATGTGTTCAAGCTAGAAAAGTCAACCAGGCCAAGGACCCCACCATCAGAGGCAGTGGGAGAGGGGAGGGATTGGGAGCCGGTGCTCACGGGTAGCGAGCTTCAAAGCCAACTCCCCCAGAGCAGCTGCACCCATGGAGCTGCCTCCTCTCACAGCCACCTTGCCTGGCTAGAACATAAGAAATGGCTTTCAAGGAGGGGAATGTGTTCAAGCTAGAAAAGTCAACCAGGCCAAGGACCCCACCATCAGAGGCAGTGGGAGAGGGGAGGGATTGGGAGCCGGTGCTCACGGGTAGCGAGCTTCAAAGCCAACTCCCCCAGAGCAGCTGCACCCATGGAGCTGCCTCCTCTCACCCC